CCATTCCCTCCCACCCTTCACACCACCAGCTCCTGACCACCACCATCCTACTTTCTACTTTTATGAGTTCACTTTTTAGATTCCACATATGAGTGAGATAATGCAGTATTTTTCTCTGTCTGGCTTATATCACTAATCATAATGTCTTCCACTTTCATCTGTGTTGTTGCAAATGACAGAATTTCCTTCTTTTTACAGAATAAATAATATTCCATATATGTACCACATTTTCATTATCCATTCATCAAGTGTTGATAAACACTTGAGTTGTTACCATATCTGGACTATGGCTTACGATGCTGTGATCAGCATAGAAGTCTGGATATCTCTTGAAGATAAAGATAAATCTAGTATTTTTTTTCTTCCTAAGGTCATTATAATCTGGATATTTATTGTTATCCCATGTTTTGTTTCCACTTGAAATATGAGAATAGTTAATCGCATATTTCAGTAATCCAGTAAATCCAGTAAAATTTATCCTTTTACTTTTCTACTATTTGGATATGGTTATATATTAATCTGTTTTTCTTTTCTTAAATAAATCAGTCCTAGCTGTTTATTCATATGAACCATGGGATTATACCAAAAGCAAACCCAAATTAATATTCTTCTTTCACTATAATGAATTATCTCATTTGTTTAAAAAAATCTATTGAATTGTGACCAGTGAATTTAATTATTTAAGAAATAAATATCTAGCCAGATTCTATTTGGAAAGGTGAATATTTTTAAGGAGGCTTAGCTTGGTTTCTATTTGTTTTGGAGACAGTATATCTGAACATCAGAGCATCAGGTTAAGGCCTAGAAAACTTTGGAAGTCAAGCTGATGTTTTTAATTAAAATATGTACTTCATAAACTTCTACCATTAACATCAGTCTGGTTAAAAGAGGACTTTGATTTGAGATCTCTGTCTTTTTTTGAGGGGGGGACATGGGAGGGGGGATCGGGATGGGGAATACATGTAAATCCATGGCTGATTCATGTCAATGTATGACAAAAACCACTACAATACTGTAAAGTAATTAGCCTCCAACTAATAAAAATAAATGGAAAACAAACAAACAAACAAAAGACTGAGATCTCAAAAAAAATCTAGCATTTTAAAGACCAGTCTGCCTCTCTAATTTCTGAGGTAATATTTAGAATTCTTTTTTGGATTACTCCTCAACATATTTTGAAATCATTACTTGTGTAATTGATACTTACACAGAGAAGTGGCAGTGCCAGAATTTTACCAAAATCTTACTTTCACTTCTCGTAATCTAATTTTTATCACTTAAGATTCTCATTTCACAGTTGAAATGCCAAAAGTGGGGGAATATTGTCTACTGTAGTTTTTAAACATGATTTATGGAAAAAAAACCTACTTATTTGCTCTTCATTACTTTAACCTTTGAGGGAATGTGTTATTTATCACCTACCACAATTTAGACTGAGGAACAAAACAAGCTCATGGACCCTGTGACTCATGTTGTTTTGTGATAATATATTGGTCCAAGTATAGACTGCAGCTTTATTAAGAATCCCTATGCTCCTCCGAAGAATTGCCTCGATTTTTTCTAAAGCAGACAAAGCCCTTTAAATCTATAAAAGATGCTAAAATTATGATTGATTCTTATGTTTTAAAAAATCTCCAATCTTTTTGCTCATTTTAAAATGGAAAAACATATTGACTTTTGGGAAGTGGAGATGTAGGAACATTCATATTTAGTTAGCTGGAGAAGATTATGCACTGAAATTTCAAAGCCATATTTTAGTCAAAGGGTAATGGAAATTTAGAGCAAAAGGCATCTTTAGATAGCTTTGTGGTGATGTGTGAAAAGCAGAGAATTGAAGTCAGAAAACCTGAGGTCGAGTTCCTGCTTTCCACTTTCTCATTGTGTGACCCAACTCATGGCATAAATTCATTAAACTCTGTTTCCTCATCTGTGAAAGTAAGAAAATACCTGCCTTATAAATTGTATTGTTTTTTTGTCAGGATGAAATGACACAGTATACAAAAAGTCTATTGGGAACTATGAGCTCCTGTTCAAATGTATGATGATTACTTTTTTATGAAGGAGAAAACAAACCCCTGTTCATCAGGTGCTGTGCTTAGTCGCACAGTTGTGTCTGACTCTTTGTGACCCCATGGACTGTGGCCTGCCAGTTCCACTGTCCATGGGGATCCTCCAGGCAAGAAAAATGGAGTGGGTTGCCATTTCTTTCTCCAGGGGAACTACCCAACCCAGGGATCGAACCCAGGTCTCCCACATTGCAAGTGGATTCTTTACCGTCTGAGCCACCAGGGAATCTCAAGAATACTAGAGTGGGCAGCCTATCCCTTCTCCAGGGGAATCTTCCAGACCCAGGAATCAAAATGAAGGCTCCTGCATTCCAGGTGGATTCTTTACCAGCTGAGTTACCATTACCAGTGGTACAGCCAGGTCTCCTAAATCAGTCTGATAGTCTTTCCAACTAGAGTATAACTTTTAAAATGTGCTCATCTGAAAAATAAATGACCCAATCAAAAAATGGGCCAAAGAACTGAACAGACATTTCTCCAAGGAAGACATACAGATGGCTAACAAACACATGAAAAGATGCTCAACATCACTCATTATCAGAGAAATGCAAATCAAAACCACAATGAGGTACCATTACACACCAGTCAGGATGGCTGCTATCCAAAAGTCTACAAGCAATAAATGCTGGAGAGGGTGTGGAGAAAAGGGAACCCTCTTACACTGTTGGTGGGAATGCAAATTAGTACAGCCACTATGGAAAACAGTGTGGAGATTTCTTAAAAAGCTGGAAATAGAACTGCCATATGACCCAGCAATCCCACTTCTGGGCATACACACCGAGGAAACCAGATCTGAAAGAGACACGTGTACCCCAATGTTCATCGCAGCACTGTTTATAATAGCCAGGACATGGAAGCAACCTAGATGCCCATCAGCAGATGAATGGATGAGGAAGCTGTGGTACATATACACCATGGAATATTACTCAGCCATTAAAAAGAATTCATTTGAATCAGTTCTAATGAGATGGATGAAACTGGAGCCCATTATACAGAGCGAAGTAAGCCAGAAAGATAAAGACCATTACAGTATACTAACACATATATATGGAATTTAGAAAGATGGTAACGATAACCCTATGTGCAAAACAGAAAAAGAGACTCCTATGTATAGAACAGACTTGTGGACTCTGGGAGAAGGCGAGGGTGGGATGTTTCAAGAGAACAGCATTGAAACACGTATATTATCTAGGGTGAAACAGTTCACCAGCCCAGGCTGGGTGCATGAGACAAGTGCTCGTGCCTGGTGCACTGGGAAGACCCAGAGGGATTGGGTGGAGAGGGAGGTGGGAGGGGGGACCGGGATGGGGAATACATGTAAAAAAAAAAAAAAGATACACTATGGTTGTAATAAAATAAATAAATGAATAAATTAAAAAAAAATAAAAAATAAAATAAAATAAATAAAATTAAAAAAATAAAATGTGCTCATCTGCTTAGCTACTCAGAGACCTTACCAGAACTCTAAAGTTATGCCACTCTCCATAAAGACCTGAACTTCTGAATCTTACTTAGTAATGTCTTTTTGTGGGTAAGAGGAAGCAACTGGTTTAATTTGATGGGTCTTGTTCTGTCTCTTCTGGCCTAAACCACCTAAGCTGGTCCTTTTTTTTTTTTTTACTTTTTACCAGTTATGCCATGTTAAAAATCTTCAATTTATACTTAAGAGGGGTATTTCCCTGCTTTAAATCAGCTTCATAACATAATTTTACAACACACTTCTTACATGAATCTTTTTTTAAAAAATATTAATTTGGAGGAATTCCCCAGCAGTCCAGTGGATAAGACTTTGAGCTTTCATTGCTGAGGGCGGCAGTTCGATCCCTGGTCCAGGAACTAAATTCCCTTCAGCTCCATGGTGCAGGGGAAAAAAGATTAATTAATTTGGAGCCAAGCACTGCAGAAAAGGCTTCTATTTTTGATTCTTATTTAATAGACTCTATAGAATTCCCCACTCACATTTTACTTTGCCAAATGTTTGTGAAATTCTTGGGTGTTTGGTTCCCTTTTATAGCTGCTTCCACAAAGTATCAAAAAGAGCTGGAGGATGACTTTCCACCTCAGTCTAAGGTTAGCTGGAACAAAGTGGCCCCAGTTCTCTCCCAGAGTTCTCCAGATAATTAGAGGGAAGCTGAATGCCTCATGTTTAATAGAATTATTTAGGTTCATTAAATAAAAGGGTCCAGGATAAGGAAATTGAATCTGCAGATTCAAGATACAATTAATTGAGGCTTACAATATTATTCACTTAAGCTGATGTGGGAAAACAGGCAATAACTCATTCAAATAGGAAAAAGGTGAATATTCATGTCCAGCTAAAGAGAAGAAAGGGAGAAAAATATGAAAACATGACAATCTTTTCACTTACTTTTTAGGACAATAATGATGCAAATTACAAAGACTGGAAGGTGTTAAAACAGTAAGAATCCTTGTGATTTGTAGAAAGAGCTACCTTTTTTTTTGGCGGAAACATGTATTTTCCCATGAATCTATTTTCATTGTTTTTTAAAAATTTCTAGACCTTTATTTCTCTGTGAAGAGGGGGTAAAAGGAATAAAATAAAAATGGCACAACTGACACAAACAACCAACTGAGGGGGAAGGAAGAGAGGTGGAGAAATCGATGGGGCAGGGCTCCCCGTTATAGCAGCAGAAGCCTGCAACCTGAGATGCCCGCATCTACCCCCAGCGCAGCAGGAACAACCCTTGCTCCTAAGGTCTCTGCCCTGTCCCACCTCGGGCACCCCCAACCCCGTGGGAGTGGACGGTGAGAAGTTGGATTCCCAGGCTGGGGCCAGGAACTGTGCTGGGGGAGGGGCCTGGGATCAGACCATGCACAGGGAGTGAGAGCCAAGGGCACTGTCCCCCCAAGGGAGGGACTCGGGGGAGAGGGGAGGGTGAATACCAGAGGCTGGCGTTGGCTCCTCTTCCAGCATCAGGTGAGAGACAGGACAGTCAGAGCCTCCTGGGCGAAGTACTTGACATCCATGTCCTGGTCCTGGGTCAGCTTCTCCAGGATGGGCTTGACCTTGGTCTGCAGCGTGCTGTTGTCCAGGATGGACCCGATCTTCTGTAGGGACTTGGCCACGTTGAAGCGGACATTGGCAACAGGGTCCTCAGCCATATACAGCACTGTGGGCAGCATGTGCTTGGTGGTGATGTCCTGCCCACAGACCTTAGACAGCACACTGATGCAGAAGAGCATAGTCATGCGGTGCAGGTAATTGGGTTCCTCAGACAGGGTCAGGACCCTGGGGATGACAGTGGCAAGGGCCCACTCCTTCCCAAACTGCTCCACCAGCTTCTTCAGGTTGTTGGTGGCCGCCTCGCGGATGGCATAGACACGATCCACAAGCCAGGACATGCACAAGGAGTGGAGCTGAGCATCAAAGAACTCCAGCCCAAACTGTCCAGCCAGCAGAGGCATGTACTCAATGATGGCCAGACGCACTCGCCACTTGGCATCCTCCGCAAGCTCCATGATGCTGGGGAGCAGGAACTGGGACAGCTGCTGGATGCCGATCACCTCTTTCATGCAATTGAGGTTGGAGATGACTTTCAGCCGCACATCCGGGCACTCATCCTTCAGCAGAGCCAGGAAGATGGGCATGAGGTGCTTGATGGTGTTATCTTTGGCCAGGATGTGGGAGAGGCCCATGATGACGGAGGCCAGGGCTGACCTGACATGCTGGTTGGTGTCCCAGACCAGCTCCTCGCTGCAAGGCAAGATCTCGGTCAGGATCACATTCTCCCGATAGTCAGCGGAGAGATTTTCACAGAATTCTGTGAGCTTGAGGGAGGCGGCGGCCCTCACCTCGGGCTCACAGTCTTTGATCAGGTTCTGGAAGGCAGGGACCAGGTCCGTCTTGGTGACCTCAGGCCCCACTGCTGTCTGGAGCTCTGTGAACCTGTTGGCCACCATGTAACGGACGCGCCAGGATGTGTCCTCAGCAGCCTGGCACAGAGTGATTATCACCAGGGCCTCCAGGGCCTCCTGGGGCACGAGCTGGGTGATGTTCACGCACACTTCCACCATTAGCAGCCGCACCGAATCCTGCTCGTCACAGGCCAGGTTGGAGAATATGGGGATGATCTCGCTCTTGATGTGGTCCATCTCAAGCACCTTGGCGAAATCCCCCAGGTTGGAGGCTGCTGCACACCGCACCAAGAGTTCGTCATCTGAGCACAGGTCCCGAAAGCACTGTAGAAGTTCCGCCTTGACAGCAATGGACACGCCAGGGTAGCAGACGGAGAAAAGGCGGCAGGCTGAGATGCGGGAGGTGACCAACTCGCTGTCCACCATCCGCTTCACAAGTGGCACAAAGTGGTCCTCGAGATGGGAGGGTGAGTGCTCATGCGAGATGGCCCGCAGGGAGTCCACCGCCTTGTCCCGCACTATGGCCTCATCCACTATGGCCAGCAACTCTAGGGGTGGCAGCAGGCAGTGAGCATACTCGGGACCTCCGACCAGAGGCGTGAAGGTGCCCAGCTCCTCCGCCAGGGCCACGAGGACCTCGTCCTCATCGTACACGATGTCTATAATGAAGGGCAGAAGCTCATTGCGGGTCTTTTCGACTCCAAGGGCCAAGGCGATAATGGGCAGCTTCTTGATGCTGTCGACGCGAAGCTGAATATCCTCGTTCTGGAGCTCGGCTGTGAGGATCGAGATGGGGTTGAGCGAGTCATCGCCGTCAGCCGCCGCCATCTTCTTTCCTCGCAGACTGCAGCCAGCACTTTGCTAAAACAGGAACTGGGAGGAGTAAAGAACGGCGTGGGGATGCCTGACCCTCTTTACAGGGGCGACCCCACAGTCATTGGCCACGCTACGCTGTGCTGAGCCTGCGTTTCGTTTCATTTGTCCAAACAAACCAAGTCCCACCTACCACCCATTTGCCATTGGCGGAAGGGACCAGATTAACATTGCAGGAGCCTGGGGCGGAGTTGGGAGGAGTGCAGGACGGGAGGGGGGAGCACGCAATGGTGGTGTGGGGGTTGGGGACGCACAGAGGTTGTGGGGGAGTGGGGCGGGGCTTTCCTGGAGCCTCTATAGTAAAGAGTCCGCCTGCATTGCAGGAGACCGTGGTTTCATTGCTAGGTCAGGATGATCGCCTGGAGAATTAAATGGCTATCCACTCCAGTATTCTTGCCTAGAGAATTCCATGGACAGAGGAGCCTGGCCTCTGGGGTGTCAGGCACAGTCCATAAGGTGGCAGAGTTGATCCCGACTTAGTGACTAATGCACAGACGCATAGGAGAAGAGGATTCTATTTCCATTATTAATTAGAAAACTTGATGTGAAAATGGTCCGGATATCTGCTTATTATCAAGAAGAAAGATTGGAATTTTAAATGAACTTTTAATTTTTGAATAGTTTCAGATTTCATAAAAATTATTATGATAGTACAAAGGATTCTCAAATATTCCGCACCAGTTTTCCCTTTTGTAACAGCTTACCTTGGTGTGGTACTTTGCTCACAATGGGTGAACCAGTATTCATATATTAGTGTTAACTGAAGTCCATTCTTTATTCAGATTCATTTGCTCTTCTTTATCTGATATCCTTTTTCTGTTCCTAGATCCCACCCAGGTTTATCACATTACATTGTGTTGTCATGTCTCCTCTAGACTATGATAGGTTCTCAAACTTTTCTTGTCTTTCATGACTTTGACAGTTTTGAGGAATACTATTCAGGTATTTTGTAGAATGTCCCTTACTTGGGATGTGTTTGACATTTATCTTAGGGATAGACTGAGGTTGTGTATCCTTGGGGAGAAGACCACAGAGGTAAAATGCCATTTTTGTTTCCTCATTGTAAAGTTGCTCATTCTGGTACCATTACACACCAGTCAGGATGGCTGCTATCCAAAAGTCTACAAGCAATAAATGCTGGAGAGGGTGTGGAGAAAAGGGAACCCTCTTACACTGTTGGTGGGAATGCAAATTAGTACAGCCACTATGGAAAACAGTGTGGAGATTTCTAGAAAAAGCTGGAAATAGAACTGCCATATGACCCAGCAATCCCACTTCTGGGCATACACACCGAGGAAACCAGATCTGAAAGAGACACGTGTACCCCAATGTTCATCGCAGCACTGTTTATAATAGCCAGGACATGGAAGCAACCTAGATGCCCATCAGCAGACGAATGGATGAGGAAGCTGTGGTACATATACACCATGGAATATTACTCAGCCATTAAAAGGAATTCATTTGAATCAGTTCTAATGAGATGGATGTAACTGGAGCCCATTATACAGAGCGAAGTAAGCCAGAAAGATAAAGACCATTACAGTATACTAACACATATATATGGAATTTAGAAAGATGGTAACGATAACCCTATGTGCAAAACAGAAAAAGAGACTCCTATGTATAGAACAGACTTGTGGATTCTGGGAGAAGGCGAGGGTGGGATGTTTCAAGAGAACAGCGTTGAAACACGTATATTATCTAGGGTGAAACAGTTCACCAGCCCAGGTTGGGTGCATAAGACAAGTGCTCGGGCCTGGTGCACTGGGAAGACCCAGAGGGATTGGGTGGAGAGGGAGGTGGGAGGGGGGACCGGGATGGGGAATACATGTTAAAAAAAAAAAAAAAAAAGATACACTATGGTTGTGATAAAAAAATAAATAAATGAATAAATTAAAAAAAAAAAGAAAATGAAAAAAAAAAATAAAGTTGCTCATTCTACCCCTTTCTATACTGTGGTCTTTGGAAGAAAGTGACTCCACACTTACGGTGTAGGGAAGAAGGACTGAATTTTAACTGTAATAGAAAAATCATTATCATTGGCAAACATTTTAATCGGAAAGTGATTAATATCATAAGTGCATTTGGCAGGCTCCTTTGACCAGTAAACTTAGAGACGTGTATTTTGTGGCTAACATCTTGGTAGGCAAAATGGGCGGCCCTATTTCTTAGAACCAGACTCTTCTTTAGGGCAATTTTCTTTGTCTAGGGAGATGGCCAGAATTACAGGCGCTGAAATTTTAATTTACCGCTGCTACGAGTGGTGGGCTACAGTCCATAGGGTTGCACAGAGTCAGACATGACTGAAGCACACACGCTCCCACCACTTCTCAAGAGATATTGCAGGTCTTACACACTCGTGTCACACGTGAGCAAACATCCAAATCACCTCGTTATTGTTGTTTAGTCACCTAGTCATTCCCAAGACTTTTGTGACCCCATGGACTGTAGCCTGCCAGGCATCTCTGTCCATGGGATTTCATAGGCAAGAATACTGGAGAGGGTAGCCATTTCCTTCTCGAGGGTATCTGCCCAACCCAGGGATTGATCCCAGGTCTCTCAAATTTCAGGCAGATTCTTTACCGTCTGAGCCACCAAGGAATCCCAAGAATACTAGAGTGGGCAGCCTATCCCTTCTCCAGGGGAATCTTCCAGACCCAGGCATCAAAATGAGGGCTCCTGCATTCCAGGTGGATTCTTTACCAGCTGAGCTACCATTACCAGTGGTACAGCCAGGTCTCCTAAATCAGTCTGATAGTCTTTCCAACTGGAGTATAATTTTAAAAATGTGCTCATCTGCTTAGCTACTCAGAGACCTTACCAGAACTCTAAAGTTATGCCACTCTCCATAAAGACCTGAACTTCTGAATCTTACTTAGTAATGTCTTTTTGTGGGTAAGAGGAAGCAACTGGTTTAATTTGATGGGTCTTGTTCTGTCTCTTCTGGCCTAAACCACCTAAGCTGGTCCTTTTTTTTTTTTTTACTTTTTACCAGTTATGCCATGTTAAAAATCTTCAATTTATACTTAAGAGGGGTATTTCCCTGCTTTAAATCAGCTTCATAACATAATTTTACAACACACTTCTTACATGAATCTTTTTTTAAAAAATATTAATTTGGAGGAATTCCCCAGCAGTCCAGTGGATAAGACTTTGAGCTTTCATTGCTGAGGGCGGCAGTTCGATCCCTGGTCCAGGAACTAAATTCCCTTCAGCTCCATGGTGCAGGGGAAAAAAGATTAATTAATTTGGAGCCAAGCACTGCAGAAAAGGCTTCTATTTTTGATTCTTATTTAATAGACTCTATAGAATTCCCCACTCACATTTTACTTTGCCAAATGTTTGTGAAATTCTTGGGTGTTTGGTTCCCTTTTATAGCTGCTTCCACAAAGTATCAAAAAGAGCTGGAGGATGACTTTCCACCTCAGTCTAAGGTTAGCTGGAACAAAGTGGCCCCAGTTCTCTCCCAGAGTTCTCCAGATAATTAGAGGGAAGCTGAATGCCTCATGTTTAATAGAATTATTTAGGTTCATTAAATAAAAGGGTCCAGGATAAGGAAATTGAATCTGCAGATTCAAGATACAATTAATTGAGGCTTACAATATTATTCACTTAAGCTGATGTGGGAAAACAGGCAATAACTCATTCAAATAGGAAAAAGGTGAATATTCATGTCCAGCTAAAGAGAAGAAAGGGAGAAAAATATGAAAACATGACAATCTTTTCACTTACTTTTTAGGACAATAATGATGCAAATTACAAAGACTGGAAGGTGTTAAAACAGTAAGAATCCTTGTGATTTGTAGAAAGAGCTACCTTTTTTTTTGGCGGAAACATGTATTTTCCCATGAATCTATTTTCATTGTTTTTTAAAAATTTCTAGACCTTTATTTCTCTGTGAAGAGGGGGTAAAAGGAATAAAATAAAAATGGCACAACTGACACAAACAACCAACTGAGGGGGAAGGAAGAGAGGTGGAGAAATCGATGGGGCAGGGCTCCCCGTTATAGCAGCAGAAGCCTGCAACCTGAGATGCCCGCATCTACCCCCAGCGCAGCAGGAACAACCCTTGCTCCTAAGGTCTCTGCCCTGTCCCACCTCGGGCACCCCCAACCCCGTGGGAGTGGACGGTGAGAAGTTGGATTCCCAGGCTGGGGCCAGGAACTGTGCTGGGGGAGGGGCCTGGGATCAGACCATGCACAGGGAGTGAGAGCCAAGGGCACTGTCCCCCCAAGGGAGGGACTCGGGGGAGAGGGGAGGGTGAATACCAGAGGCTGGCGTTGGCTCCTCTTCCAGCATCAGGTGAGAGACAGGACAGTCAGAGCCTCCTGGGCGAAGTACTTGACATCCATGTCCTGGTCCTGGGTCAGCTTCTCCAGGATGGGCTTGACCTTGGTCTGCAGCGTGCTGTTGTCCAGGATGGACCCGATCTTCTGTAGGGACTTGGCCACGTTGAAGCGGACATTGGCAACAGGGTCCTCAGCCATATACAGCACTGTGGGCAGCATGTGCTTGGTGGTGATGTCCTGCCCACAGACCTTAGACAGCACACTGATGCAGAAGAGCATAGTCATGCGGTGCAGGTAATTGGGTTCCTCAGACAGGGTCAGGACCCTGGGGATGACAGTGGCAAGGGCCCACTCCTTCCCAAACTGCTCCACCAGCTTCTTCAGGTTGTTGGTGGCCGCCTCGCGGATGGCATAGACACGATCCACAAGCCAGGACATGCACAAGGAGTGGAGCTGAGCATCAAAGAACTCCAGCCCAAACTGTCCAGCCAGCAGAGGCATGTACTCAATGATGGCCAGACGCACTCGCCACTTGGCATCCTCCGCAAGCTCCATGATGCTGGGGAGCAGGAACTGGGACAGCTGCTGGATGCCGATCACCTCTTTCATGCAATTGAGGTTGGAGATGACTTTCAGCCGCACATCCGGGCACTCATCCTTCAGCAG